AGTTAATACTGCAGAGTCAGCATGCAAACTTTTGACCCCTACTTAGTGCTGAGAGTTAACAGGTTGTGACCTCTGACCTTATGGTAAGTGATTACTGCTGATTCGCATAGTGTTCCAGCATACCTTTGGATGCCTACACTTACGTTACAACAGTCATCTGTCAGAAATGGTGTAGGACCATGATGGCGAACCTATGGCACGCATGCAGAGGTGGCACACAGAGACCTTTGTCTGGACACGTTACCTTTGATTTCCAGGACTCTGGCACAGGCATGTGCGTTCTAGTTTGGGCACTTGGTGTTGAAAAGGTTCACCATCACTAGTGTAGGGTCTCCTGCTTCAACTGGGGGGTGGTGGTGTTGGACTGAGTTTCAAGGTCCTTTCCAATTCTGTTAATCTCAGGCTGTTTGGTATTACGCATCCCTTTAATCTACTCCAGCGAGCCTGAGGAGGGCAGCCATCGCCTTTTTTGCTGCAAACCATCCTGGACAAGACATCACTCTTTCACACAGCCTCTCCATTTCCGCCCAGTCCTAGCCTGTTACCCCAACTTTCAATCAATCAGAATAGAGCGGGAAGGGACCTGGGTGGTCTTCTAGTCCAGCCCCCTGCTCAAGCAGGAGAGCCTATACCATTTCAGACAAGTGGTTGCCCAGTCTTTTCTTTAAAACCTCCAGTGATGAAGCATCCACAACTTCTGAAGTCGAACTGTTCCACTGGTAAAATTGTCCTCACTGTGTTGTCCCCAGTTCGGGTCTGAGCCTGGTGCTGAGGCCAATGAAGGATGCCAGACACGAGGTGCAGGTTTTGATTGCCTTTTTATTGGAACGCTCCAAGGAAAAACGGGGCCCTGGTCAAAATGAGAAGAACCAGGAACAAAGGATTAAGAAAGTTTTATACATTTTCCCAAAAGGAGAAGGTGGGATAATAAGAAATACCATCTGATAAACATTTTAGTAATAATCTAACAATTTGTTCCATTGCTCTCTAGCCATCCCTATTCCTATGTCTTCGCTAATGAATGCTCCAGAATACACATTTTATTTGCTCCAGACCATCTCTATGCCTAACTTTTAGCTGAGCTATGCAGGATGTTTACGCAGGATGTTCTTGTCAGACACATCCCACAATTACTGGCTTCACAGTCTCCTTTTGCCATAACCTTGCTTTGTTTTAGCAGCCAGCCCATCATTCCCCACTCTTTGTATCTGAAAATGATTTAATTTTCCAAGGTTCACTCAACATCAATATCCATGTCCTGGGAGACCCTGTAATTTGCTTACAGGTAGAAAGGCAAAACGGAAGGCCATCTGTTCCACAACAGATGATTAAGAGAACAATGTCTATACCAGGATCATTTTAAGGATTCTTAACCAGTTGAAATTAAGTAACCATCCTGTCAGCCAATGCCACCAGCCTTCCCATTTTCTCCTATGAGGGGTTGCAGTTATCTTTGCCATATATGTAGCTCGGCTGTGGAATTCCTATGATTTGTCCAGAATATTCCCACAGCACTGTTATCCAAGTAATGCACAGACACCACCTTGGGATGCCAGTACTATATCTAGAGCCATACTATTGTTGGAAGAAATGTCCATCTGGGTTCAGTTCCAAGTGGGGGAAAAGACATTGGAAATACGGAGGCTGCTTGGAAAGATGGTTTAATGGTAGACAGGATCACATGGCTTGAGTTCCTGAACAGAAAAGGGAAAAGATGCTGAGAGTCCCTGAGTTTTATTCCCTCTCTGGGCTTTGAACTTCCTGGGACACAGGAAGAGTATCCTGATTGGTTGCTGTCAGAGGTCATGGCTAGCTTTGTAGGTTGTCTGTGTCCTAAGTTTGGTTGAAACTTGGTGGATAGTGCAATGAAGGGCAATGGAATGGGGTACATCTCTGCTATGTGGAATAACTGGCTCAGGCCTTAATGGCCCATTAACAAAGGTGGGGGCTGAGTGTCTGCTTCTCTGAGGGTCAACTTCTCTTTTAGGGGAAATATGCTGCCTTTTTAGTATATCCCAAAATATTTCATTTTTCTAGGAGAGGGGTGGGTTTTAATTTCCAACACTATTTTGAACTGTCATTTGTTGTATGGATTTATGTTCTGTTGCAATTAAAAAAAAAAAAACTCCCAGTCTCATTATCTAGGATTTCCACCACTGCCTGTATACAATACATGACATTATTGAGGGACTGGAGTCCACCGAACAAGGTAAGAGGTTGGTAGTTCTTCAGGTACTTTACGGAATGTTCAAGGTCCCTATGGTTTCTAATCTTCCTTTCAGGTAAAATGGATATAATATAGGTAAGTGGGAGGAGCACAGTTGCATAACAAATTGTACAATCCTGACTGTTGCTACATCAATTTGTCTTAATATCTTAGCCTTCATCTCCCAATCTGCTAGTGATAATGAGGAACACTCCTAATTACAGTGT